ATATATATATATATATATATATATTATTACTATATATATATATATATATATATATATATATATATATATACCTAAGTCTCTATTATTTATCATATTAAATATATATAATTAAAATCGATTAGATAGTTTATCAGAAGGTAAAATACTTTGATAACATATATCTTGACATATATAGAGTTCACCGTTCAAAGGTAGAAGTCCTTTCGGTCCATACTTGAACATTATTGGGAACGTCAATGCAATATCGACCGATACATAACGGGATAATCAATCTCTATCAACGGTTCATCAAAAATCAATTGTTTTTACAGCGCCGACGACTGTTATACATTAATGCTTTTAGCACCGAACATCTAGCTCTCTTCCAGTGGCTACCTTGGCTAGGGAACTCAATTTGCAAAATGAAATTCATGGTTGACCGATGATGATCGTCGCGAGATAGGAGACAATCAATCCGCTTGATGCAGCACTACCCCGCGGGGTTAGATCGCTATTGCTGGTGGCTGACCTCCGATTCAGTAGCACGTTGCGCGAATTAGTCCATGGCGTTTGCTCGCAAAGGTATCATCCAATCATGCGAGTGCATCCTACGCCGGCCGTGATATGCGTGGCTAAGCCGCCTAAATCGAGCTTTCATTGATATTTAATCGATATCCTGAACATTATCCAGCTCACTTGTCTCTTTGACTTCTGTAAAGCATTAAAAGCAGCGCGAATCATCTAGTGAATCATTTTTTAAGAAGGATTAGGAAATTAGAAGAATTTTTTTTAAATAAAATTATTTGTATTTTAGCTATAAAAGCGTGATTGCTAATTAATTTTTATATGATGTAAGAAAATATCTAAAATACAACGCTATAAACATTTTTTCTGCATTATTTTATTAGACAAATTGATGATTAAACATACGGAAAGGAAAATAACTTAAAGTGAATACTTAAATACGTTGTACTCTTTTTTTTTAAAAAAAAGATTGCGAGTATCTATATTTAAGATACATTTATTTGTATGGGATCTAATTTATACGAATCCAGTTTAGCTCTCGTGGTGAGGAAATTCAAATTACAGTGCACAGAAAAGTCTTTGGAAGGGGGGGGAAGAGATCTGATAATTGCGTTTGGCTGCCGTTTTCAAGGCGCGCTTGGAAATTACGCCCCGGAACTCTGACGGCGCATTAAATAGTCGGCAGACATGTTCGCGCGCAAAACAATGAGAGACTATAGAGATCGTTTGCGACACGCACGTCGACCGACCGGGGATTTACGGCGTTGCGGGTGCTTTCCGTGGTCTTTGTTCTAACACGACCAAGACGTTGCAGGCTCCCCGGACCAGTATTGTAGCAGCGCAGGCGTTGATGCTTGAGAACTTCCGGTGCTAAACATTTATAACGTGTTCCTGAATTTCTTCATGATTTAAGGTTTATGTAAATTAACCAGTTATGACCACCGATCATTTCACTATATAGGTCATTTAATCTCGAATTTAAGAAATAGAATGATTATTCTAAAATAATAGTTATTTTATTGAAACTTTGTCATATTTTTTATTTTTCAATGCGTAAATAATAATATTAAAAACAGATACCAAATTAAAAATTGCAAGCATAAATGTAATTTTCCAACAAGGGTTAAATATATCAAACATATATATATATATATACAATCTATAAATATAGTATCAATAATTTTCAAATTCTATAGTTGAAATATTGAAGATATTTAGTAGCCAACAGCCAATTTTTAAATCTGCAAAAAGTATATCAGAGATTGAAGAAGCAATTCGATTGAACCAATTATCATTTGCATCAAACTTGTATGAAGCGTGCGATTATGTATGGATTGTTTTTGTTCCAGGTATCCTGGATGCGCAAGCGGGATATGCATATTTTGAGCGCAGATATCCTCATGTACACGTCGGATCTGAGGTTTCAGGTGATTCATCCGGACAAGTCGGAGAATTGGACGCTGCAAATCAAGTCGCCGCAGCAGCGCGATTCCGGCGTGTACGAGTGCCAGGTCAGCACCGAGCCGAAGATGTCGCTCAACTATACTCTCAACGTGGTTGGTGAGTGCCGAACTAAATTATTCACACGCTTGGCCCGGTTACGTAAATCGCGGCCTTGGGTTGATTCCCAAGTTTCAAAGTCTTCTCTCGATGGAAAGACTTTGAACCGTTACGGCCGCGCTTCTCGATAGGCTGCTGTCTCGGGAAAAAGATTGTTCGCGACACGAATCGGCTGGCGGATTCGAACGGGTTAAAGTTTAAACGCTTTTAAGTGCTCCTTCGCGAGATTATCCTCTCGGTCGCGTTCTGAAAGCTACGTCGTTTGGAGATTAGCGAGCTGCAACTCGCCGTCGACATTGACATCTAATGAGGAAAAAGTGGAGTTGCTCATATGGAATTTTCGTGTAGATTAATTTTCGATCAATTCGATTTGTGATTTTATTTATAGGTATATTTAAAGAAGAGAAATCGTAAAATCTATTAATATTGATCAATATTTATGCGTATCGTTTTATTAATGATATTATAAATATTGTATCAGTATTTGTTTGAATATCTTAAGTTATTTTTTATTGATTGATATGTAACGTCTGGCTTTATTTACTTAGAGAATATTATTTTGCCAGTTTGTATCGTTTGATATATTTATAGCATTAAGCATTATTTCGACATGATCATTAATACGTTAATGGTGATAAATAATAAATTACTCAATGGCGATGCAGAAATTCCTCTACGGCTGTACTGCGTGTGAAAATTGATCTCAATTCCATCACGAATGCCGATTGCACACAATACAGCTGGCGATGACACGTCCAATTACATATTCATGCAGACCCGAGTGTGTCATCAAGTATCATTTTGCATCTTCTTGTGTGAAAATTCTGTTACACAGTTACAAAACAGATGTTTTCTCGCGGAAAAATATGCGATTCTTCACAGCATTACGTGAAATGCAAAAATAAATATGAATTTATTAATTTATTTACATCAATATTATTCAATATGTATGAAGGAAATATCCGTGATATTTATGCGATTCGCCTTAATAAACAACGAATAAAAATGCTATTTTCTTGGCTGCAACAAGATACAGTGCGAGCATTCTATTCGTGTCTTCTTTAAAGTTGAAGGCAAGCACACCGTAAGATTTAGTTAGGCGAAGTCTCGGCGATCGTTTTTTTACGTTCGTGAATCTTTCAGCAGTTTCTGAGAACATTAGGGAAAACGACAACGATAACGCACGACTTCCGTTTCTTCCGTTTGCGAGCGTCGCCGACCAAAAAAGCAGCGGGGGATGGGCAGCGAAGGCAAGGGAGAGCGAGTTATTTTGCCATCGAAAGTTGGAGCTAAGATACACTATAAACAACGTAACTTTGTACATGCAATCCGGAAGGATTTCATATTGGCATACTGAAACCTTCTCGCCGCTGTAGTTCACGGTCCACTCCCTTTAAACTTTCAGTCACAATAAACATCCGCCAGTTCTACCGAAAATAGGCGCGACTTTATACGAAATTAATTGCACTAATTGTAAAATTTATTGCAATATGGACGCTTTTATCATTTCGTATCTTGTAAATAAATAAACATTCGCAAAAGTACAAAATTATATACGAATCCAACGTAAAATATATCAAGATGTTCTTGTAAGATTTTCAAAAATATTTTGCTTGCAATATATTTATTCAAGAAATTTAACAAAATTATATAAATATAATTTTGTACTTTAAATTTCTTGAATTCTTTTGGATTCTGTGATTCTTAAATAGTTGTATCTAAATTATTAAAATGTAGTTTCTTAAGTCGTGAAATTATTTGATATTTATTGTTAGATTATAAAATTTTCGTGCGACGCTTAGAATGTTTTGATTACAAAATTTTTCAAATCCTAGATTGTCAAATCCTAGATAGATCCTTAGATTGTCGTCTTAAAATATTCGCGCTCGAAGAAAAACTTTCTAGTTTCTTTCTGGAGATGTAAAGCACCAGTAAAAAAAAAGCAACTGAAACTTGGTGGAAGAATAATAGTATGACACACGAAATAGTAAAGGGAAGCGATAATTTTTAGATTACGAAATGAATGATGCTGGCAAAAGAAATTTCTTTTTTCTACATTGCCTTATACAGATTCGTCATTTTGCGATAAATGGAGTTAGAATAAAATTGTCATAGAATTATTTGCTTCCATTTTCAAATGTAAAATTGCGGATGCAACCGTTGATTCTGAACTCTGCGCGAGGCTAAAGAAAAGAATAAGTAAGGGAGCAAGGAACGGAGAGTACGATGCGCGTAGGGTGGAGAACGTAAGAACTCCAGTGTGCTCGATAAGCGGCTTGGAGGAAACACGTCGACGAACCGAGTCCTTTTCAACCACCTCCCATCCTCATTCTCCCCTTTTTATGCGCTACGAGCGCATCGATGCAGGTGCATCTACTCCGTCTGGAGCGTTTATGTCTGGAAACGGGGAGGGATGGTTGGCGCGAAATAAATCGTCTTTCTTTCGCACGTTCTCTCATTCGTAAAATCGTAAAACATGAAGTCGACGGCGAGATCGATTTTACAAATCCATTCCGCAAAAAGCTGGATACGTGAAAGTCCCTGCTGACTGCAGAAATCGAAATTTCCCATTGGGGTATGAAGTAAGTTTGAAAATTGGTGGAGGGGGGAAAGGCTGTTTTCTGATAGATCTATAAAGATCATCTGTCGAAGATCGATAAAAGTAGGGTAGATCGGGAAAAGTAGAGCAAATTGATTTGAAACGTAACGAAGCAAGTATAATGAAACATCATATTTGACAGAGAAAATTATTTTATGAAATAAATGAAAAAGTTTCTTATAAATATGATGTATAATAACAAACTATTTAAGATAGAAAAATTTATAGAATTTATATTAATAATCTTAATTATATTAATTACAATCGCATTTTTCCCGTTTTATCTTTATAATTGTGAAAGAACGTTGGAAATAATTCATTCCAAATCACGAACGCGATTTTTATTTAAAATTGCTGAATACGACAGATTTAGCAAAAAACTTCTCGTAATTCCCGCTTTTGCCTTTCGAGTCGAAACGTGTCCTACAGAGAATAATTCACGTACCAAAATTCGCCAGGATAATAAAATTCTGCCAACGGGTGGAACTCCAATCTCACCACCCCGGCATATATATTCTTGACTCAGCATTTTTTTTTTTTGCCGCAACGTGTTTTCGCCTAGCTGAACGGCGTAAATACATCCGAATTAACCACTAATGCATTTTTTGCCGCCCGTGCGTTTGTTAAACGTCTCGTCCTGCCCCCGTCAAATAAATCCAAACGTATTTCTCGGATTCGTACCAGTCGGTCTTACGCAAGCTCTCTCACAATTGTATTGGTTAAAGCCGGAATCACACTGTGGTTTTAACAGTAAAATTCGAGAAAATACAGTGCTACGTCGACATTTGACAAATGTAATCACGATGTTCATTATTACTAATAACTTACGTAACTTGCTATGAATAGCATTTGAAATGCATGCAAAATGAAATGCAACATGAAATACAGCATCACATGCTTATTAACTGTAAATGCTGTTTAAAACTGAATAATATCCTACTTAACTATTATTAAATACGCGTTTTACAGATATTCTCTCAATTTAATACAAACATTTCATTATGTATATTATGAATAACGCGCGCGCGCGCGCGCGCACACACACACACACACACACACACACACACACACACACACACACACACACACACACACACACACACACACACACACACACACACACACACACACACACACACACACACACACACACACACACACACACACACACACACACACACACACACACACACACACACACACACACATATTAATACGTCTATTTATATTCTACATATATTTGTGTGTTTATATTAAACATATTAACTCTATGAACCCATACTATTTAGTACTAAATATGAAACGACATTGTGGTTTAAAGCTATCCTAGTTTACAATATGGTATAATAGATTCCACATAGTTCCGCGATGGCACGTTAATGAATGCGCTTCGGTCGATGTAATCAGCAACGTAATCGCAAATCAAACGAGAGAGTGAAAATGATAATTGGCCGGCAAAGATTTACCAGGTAACGTAACGACAAAGCCATAATAACGGAATACGATAAACATTGATGTATCCAGCCAATTATCGATGTATGTCTATTTTTCATTATCATATCATCGATAATAATGGAGATTAATATTTCTTTTCAGCAAAAATAGATTATGTTAAAATTATCTAGCCAAATTATATAATAAAATTTTAAATAAACGTTGAAAAATTATTTGCAAAGCTCATCATTAATATCTTTGCAGGAAATTAATATTTCGTCATTCTGGATATTAAAAAACAATATTTTTTATTTACTATTATACATTAATTAATATAAATTAATATGAAACTATGAGTTTGTATGTTACTTTCTCACGTATCAATCGAGATTTTAATGAAATCCTATATTGTATTATGTATATGTTAGAATAGCATATTAGCGATTCCGGGAACTATTGTTGATGCGATGTTTCATTCAGCGAAATGGTCAGCAACGGTATCCACGAATATCGGTACGAATATCGGAAGGCATAAAGATATGAATAAAATAACACAACTGCATGCAAAGATATATCTTTACTAGGGAAAGGGTTTATAAAGATACAAATAATACAGCGACATTTATATATGTTTTAAACATTTATATTTATATCTCGCTTCGAAAGTGACGGAACTCAAACATTGTCATTTTTCTGAAGAGCGTGGAGAAGAAATGAAGAAGAATTCTCCCTTAATGAAATATATTTTTAAAAGCAATTTTTTTCACGTTTCTTGCAAATTTATAAAGCCTCGTAGAATATTAATATGCTAATTTAAAACAACTTTAGAATAGAATATAATAATATATAAAAATATATAAATATTATATATAATATTATATATAATATATTTTATATATTATATATAATAATATATAAAAATAGAACATATAAAAAGTAAGTATATTAAAAATATATTAAAAGAGCT